CTGGAAAATCCTAGAGGGACTAGTACCGAACTTGCACACGAAAATCACTCACTACGAAAGCAAAAGACTTGGCAGACGATGCACCATCCCCCAATGAAAAGCAGGGGTTTGTCACTAGCACGTTAAGAGACCATACAATAAGTGTCAGGGGCCCGAGACTGTTAAACTGCCTCCCAGCACACATAAGGGGGATTACCAACAGACCCCTGGCAGTCTTTAAGCTGGCACTGGACAAGCACCTAAAGTCAGTTCCTGATCAGCCGGGCTGTGGCTCGTACGTTGGTTTGCGTGCAGCCAGCAGCAACAGCCTGGTTGATCAGGCTCTGATCCACCAGGAGGCCTGGTCACAGACCGGGCCGCGGGGGCGTTGACCCCCGGAACTCTCTCCAGGTAAACTCCAGGTAACCTATGCCCTAAGTAAAGAGAAACCATTCTGGCTGGCTGGCTGCCTGACTGACTAGCTGCATAGCCAGTCAGCCAGCAGCAGCAGCAGCAGCAGCAGCCACCGCCGCCACCACCACCGCCACCGCCTCCACTGCCTCTGCCTCCGCCTCCGCCTCCTCCTCCTCCTCCTCCTCCTCCTCCTCCTCCTCCTCCAGGCAGGTGAAAATGTCCACCTGTCAGTGTGTTTGTGACAATGTGAGTACAATTTCAGTACCTAATAGTAGTGTCAGAACAAAGATTAGTTATGAAATGACAAGAGCTACTATAAATTGTAATTATCAGAACATAAAAATTATATAAAATAATATGAAAAATGGAAAAAAAGATATATCGGCAACACTTATGCAAGCGGCAGCACTCCATGTTGCCTCCAGGTGATCGCCAAGTGCCAACTTTGCGGCCTCATATCTCGGTAAGTACTGACCCTAATTTTTTTTTTATCTTATAACACTTAGAAAAATGTAGTGAACGTATATATACGTTTGGACCGTTTACGGGTTAAATCATTTGTTAAAGCAACTGCTCAAGAAGAAATTTTTCGCCTAGCTAGTAGTAATAAGTTATCACAAGTAATATACAGTCGACCCTCAACTAACGGCGGCATTAAGTAACGGCAATTTTGTCTAACAGCGCTTTTTGCCATAGAAAAAAATGCCTTAACCAACGGCTAAAAACTTAACCAACGACGTTCGTCTGGAACGTGTCGATGTGCCCGGAGACTCCAAGAGTCAGTGTGCCATTGTTTACAAGCTGTTGCGGTCGGTTTCCATATGTGCCTCCCATATATTTTGGATTATTCCACTATTTCTAGTGCTTGTAACCGCTAAATAAGCCACCATGGGTCCCAAGAAAGCTTCTAGTGCCAAGCCTGTGTTAAAAAGGGTAAGAATTACGATGGAAATGAAGGAGGTCATTGAAAAATACGAGAGTGGAGTGCGTATGGCTGCGTTGGAAAGGCAATACAACAACTCACATTCAACCATCAGTACTATCTTGGCAAACAGACAGGCAATCAAGGAAGCTGTTGTTGCAAAAGGTTCAAGTATGTTTTCAAAACAGAGACCACAAATAATTGAAGAGGTAGAGAGACTGTTATTGGTATGGATAAACGAAAAACAATTATCAGGTGATAGTGTTTCTCAGTCTATAATTTGTCAAAAGGCAAGGAAGTTGCATGATGATCTCATTAAGAAAATGCCTTAAAATAGTGCTGTTGCTGATGAATTTAAGGCCAGCAAAGGCTGGTTTGAGAGATTTAAGATTCATGGTGGCATACACAGTGTGGTAAGGCATGGTGAGGCAGCCAGTTCAGACAAAAATGTGGCTGAAAAATATGTGAAGGACTTTAAGGAATATATAGAGACTGGAAACCTAAAACCTGAACAAGTGTTTAATTGTGACGAAACAGGTCTGTTTTGGAAGAAAATGCCAAACAGGACCTACATTACTCAGGAGGAAAAGGCACCCCCAGGAAATAAGCCTATGAAAGACAGACTGACATTAATGTTGTGTAGTAATGCTAGTGACTGCAAAGTGAAGCCTTTATTAGTGTATCACTCTGAAACTCCCAGAGTGTTCAGGAAAAACAGTATCATCAAGGGTAATTTGTGTGTGCTGTGGAGATCAAACAGTAAGGCATGGGTCACTAGGGTATTTTTCTTGGACTGGTTTTATGGTGTGTTTGGCCCCACTGTGACAAAATACCTTCAGGAAAAGAAATTGCCACTCAAGTGCCTCTGGTAATGGACAATGCTCCTGCTCATCCTCACGACTTGCAAGAGGAAATTGCAGGGGTTTGGTTTCGTTAAGGTGAAATTTTTGCCTCCTAATACAACTCCTCTCCTCCAACCCATGGACCAGTAAGTCATTTCAAACTTCAAAAAACTCTACACAAAAGCAGTGTTTCAAAAGTGCTTTGAAGTGACCTCAGACACTCAACTGACCCTAAGAGAGTTTTGGAAAGATCACTTCAATATCCTCAGTTGTGTAAACCTTATAGGTAAGGCTTGGGAGGGAGTGACTAAGAGGACCTTGAACTCTGCTCAGAGGAAACTGTGGCCAGAATGTGTAGAGTAGAGGGATGTTGAAGGGTTTGGGGCTAGCCCTCAGGAGGCTATGCCAGTAGTGGAAGCTATTGTGTCATTGGAGAAGTCCTTGGGGTTGGAGGTTTGTGACGAGGATGTGGAAGAGTTGGTGCAGAACGACGAGGAAGAACTAACCACTGCAGACCTGTAAGAGCTTCAGGAGCAACAGCAATAGATCACATCTCAGGAATGTTCTTCAGAGCAGGATGAAGAGAGACAGAGGAAGATGACTTCATCAAGGATTAGGGAAATGTGTTCAATGTTTACAAAGTTGCAAGCATTTATCGAAGAATTTTATCCTGTCACCCAAGTTGCAAGCCGCATTGGCAACATGTACAATCACACTCTTGTGTCCCATTTTAGGGAAATCCTAAGGGCACGTGAGAAACAGAGCTCTCTGGACAGCTATTTTGTGCAACAGGGGTTCAGTGACTCTCAAGCTGGTCCTAGTGGCATTAAAAAACCAAGGAGGGAGGTAACCCCACCAAAGAACTTGGTACCTGAAGTCCTTCTGGTAGGGGATTCTCCTTCCAAGCAATAGACAATCCTGAATCTCCCCTGCTGCTGGCATATCACTCATCAACAACTCCACAATAAAGGTAAGTGGCATTTAATTATTGTTTATTTTGCATGTCCCATTCCTTTCCATATAAGGAAATGTATATTTCATGTCAGGAATGGATTAATTCTATTTCCATTATTTCTTATGGGGAAAATTAACTCGACCAACGGCAATTTTGACCAATGGCAAGTCCTCTGGAATGGATTAATGCCGTTGGTTGAGGGTCCACTGTACACAGTAGTCTTCTGGCAGGGCTGCATCTGCTGCTGTTGCCACCTCCCTAGTTAATAACGATAATAAACTTGTTGAACTAGGCATAAGAATTAACAACTGGGCGTCTACATTGCAAACTGAATTGTTTGCAATCCTAATGGCGCTGAAGCTAACTTATGACACTGAGCTTGACTCTATCATCATTACTGATTCTATGTCATCATTGAAGGCTCTTGATTCATATAATGACTCCAACAACATGCTCATTGGAGAAACCCGGTATAGATACTCAAAAATCCAGGACGAAGGAATTAATGTACAATTGCTATGGGTCCCATCACACATTGGATTACTCCTTCATGATAAAGTTGATATGTTAGCCAAGAAGAGTACCCAGAAGGAGAATGTAGAATATAACTTTGGTATATCTGTGTCTAGCATTAGGAATAATATTAGGAGAGAAGTAAATAATGAAAATGATTGTTATAGGAATGCAGTTAGAAGCCTGAGTAGATCTATAACCCACTATGATAACATGAACATAGATAAGTGTGTTTATGGAGCAACGTGCAATGTGAACAGACTGACTGATGTTGTAGTGGCCAGACTTAGGCTTGGTTACAAGTACTTCTGGCAGTTTGGGAGACACACAGATGATGATCAAACTAAATGTAAATTATGTGATCAGACATATGGTCACTGTCTTGAACACTATGTGCCTAATTGTCCAGTTATTGAGGAATACAGAGATAGACAGTACAATAACCTATGTGACATGTCAAGATATCTTATTAATGAAAATAAGATACCAGATATACTAAGCAAATTTCCTAAATTTGCTTGTAACGGATAAGTGAACTATAGATATGTAGATATAAATCCATATGTATTCCTGTTAACCCTTTGGGGCCTAGTTCCTAGGCCTTTTGTGTATCCATATGCTCTTGTGCTACCATCCACAGGATGGATATGGGGTGCACAATAAACTAGCCACTTCGGTGGCAAAAATCTAAATCTGTATAAGCAGGGCCCCTGTACAGCAGTAGCCCGGAACCTAACCTGCTGTATAAGCAGGGCCCTCCTGCACAGCAGTAGCCCGGAACCTAACTTGCCGTATAAGGAGGGCCCTCCTGTACAGCAGAAGCCCGGAACCTAACCTTCTGTATAAGCAGGGCCCTCCTGTACAGCAGTAGCCTGGAACCTAACCTGCTGTATAAGCAGGGTCCTCCTGTACAGCAGTAGCCCGGAACCTAACCTGCTGTATAAGCAGGGCCCTCCTGCACAGCAGTAGCCCGGAACCTAACTTGCTGTATAAGCAGGGCCCTCCTGTACAGCAGAAGCCCAGAACCTAACCTGTATAAGCAGAGCCCTCCTGTACAGCAGTAGCCTGGAACCTAACCTGCTGTATAAGCAGGGTCCTCCTGTACAGCAGAAGCCCGGAACCTAACCTTCTGTATAAGTGGGGTCCTCCTGTACTGATTTAGCCAGAGAGTTATAGATATGGAGCAAACTGCCAAATAGAATTAATCAAACTAAACTGCTGGGCAGTTTTAAAAATAAATTTTAACAAATTAGTGAAAAGGGGTTAGGTTCACAGAGAGCCTGCCTAGCACAGGCCAGTAGGCCTACTGCTGGTACATCATCACAAAAAATAATCATAAAGGACAGTTTTGTAACTAGTTGACGATTGGTTGCAGTACGAGTGGCTACGTATGTACAGTGCTGTATCGCAGAGATGGCCACATCATTGAGATGCAACAAGGTGAGTCATTGCAACTTGTCAGCTTATCAGTTGTCATACCTTGTCAGCTAAGTTATCAGTTGTCACAGCTTGTCAGCTAAGTTATCATTTGTCAAAGCTTGTCAGCTAAGTTGTCAGTTGTCACAGCTTGTTAATTAAGTTATCAGTTGTCACAGCTTGTCAGCTAAGTTGTCAGCTGTCACAGCTTGTTAGCTAAGTTATCAATTGTCACAGCTTCAATATACATACACATACTGTGTACACATGCATGCAGCTAACACACACATGTACACACCTAGCCAAGCATGTAAGAAAATTAGAGAAAGTGCAAAGGTTTGCAACAAGACTAGTTCCACAGCTAAGGGAATTGTCCTATGAGGCCTCAATAAGGAATTTCACAGCAGACCTAGAGACTGTTGATTGGCCTACAGAATTCTCCAATGCCAATGGTATTGATGATTGGACAGACATTTTTCTTAACAAAATACTTAGACTATACAACAAACATTGTCCTATAAAAACAAAACAGATCACGAATAAACGGCTTGGTTGCCCATGGCTAACCAGCACCATTCTGAAATCCACTGATAAGAAACACCAATATGAAAAGCAATATAGACAGGGCTTAATACACAAAGATATTCTTAAACAATATTCAACAGTTCTCACCAAATTAATAAAGAAAGCCAAACAACTGTACTACTCGACAAGTGTGACCATGGCGTAATAGCGCACAAAATGCGCGCTAAAGGAATAACAGGAAAAGTCGGTCGATGGATCTATAATTTCCTCACTAACAGAACACAGAGAGTAGTCGTCAACAGAGTAAAGTCCGAGGCAGCTACGGTGAAAAGCTCTGTTCCACAAGGCACAGTACTAGCTCCCATCTTGTTCCTCATCCTCATATCCGACATAGACAAGGATGTCAGCCACAGCACCGTGTCTTCCTTTGCAGATGACACCCGAATCTGCATGACAGTGTCTTCCATTGCAGACACTGCAAGGCTCCAGGCGGACATCAACCAAATCTTTCAGTGGGCTGCAGAAAACAATATGAAGTTCAACGATGAGAAATTTCAATTACTCAGATATGGTAAACATGAGGAAATTAAATCTTCATCAGAGTACAAAACAAATTCTGGCCACGAAATAGAGCGAAACACCAACGTCAAAGACCTGGGAGTGATTATGTCGGAGGATCTCACCTTCAAGGACCATAACATTGTATCAATCGCATCTGCTAGAAAAATGACAGGATGGATAATGAGAACCTTCAAAACTAGGGAGGCCAAGCCCATGATGACACTCTTCAGGTCACTTGTTCTATCTAGGCTGGAATATTGCTGCACTCTAACAGCACCTTTCAAGGCAGGTGAAATTGCCGACCTAGAAAATGTACAGAGAACTTTCACGGCGCGCATAACGGAGATAAAACACCTCAATACTGGGAGCGCTTGAGGTTTCTAAACCTGTATTCCCTGGAACGCAGGAGGGAGAGATACATGATTATATACACCTGGAAAATCCTAGAGGGACTAGTACCGAACTTGCACACGAAAATCACTCATTACGAAAGCAAAAGACTTGGCAGACGATGCACCATCCCCCCAATGAAAAGCAGGGTGTCACTAGCACGTTAAGAGACCATACAGTAAGTGTCAGGGGCCCGAGACTGTTCAACTGCCTCCCAGCACACATAAGGGGGATTACCAACAGACCCCTGGCAGTCTTCAAGCTGGCACTGGACAAGCACCTAAAGTCAGTTCCTGATCAGCCGGGCTGTGGCTCGTACGTTGGTTTGCGTGCAGCCAGCAGCAACAGCCTGGTTGATCAGGCGCTGATCCACCAGGAGGCCTGGTCACAGACCGGGCCGCGGGGGCGTTGACCCCCGAAACTCTCTCCAGGTAAACTCCAGGTAAACTCCAGCAGATTCAATGACACAAATGGAGATATAAAAAAGACCTGGAAAACACTTTCCCAGATTCTGGGGACCCACAAACTGAAAAAAAAACAAGAATATTGTTCTAACTAAACCTCATGAAACACCACTGCATCCCACTGATACAGCTAACAAGATAAACGACTTCTTCTCAAACATAGGATCTAATCTCGCCAGTAAAATCCCACGTACCAATGCCCGTGCCGGGGATTACCTAGATGGGAATTTCCCAAATTCCTTCTATCTTGTACCAACTGAGCCTATGGAAGTCACCGCGATCATAAAGTCACTTAAAAATAACTCGGGGAATCTGTCTCATGTCCCACCATTATTGTACAAGCGAGCAGCCCATGTCCTTTCGCATGCTATTACATTACTTTTTAACAAGTCACCAGAAACTAGCACTTTCCCGACACTACTCAAGACAACAAGGGTTACACCAATACATAAAGGTGGTGACCCTACAGACGTAAACAACTATAGGCCAATATCAAACTTACCATTGCTATCCAAAATCTTCGGGAAACTCGTGCACAGGAGACTATATTCATTTATAACGTCACAAAACATACTCAACTCCTGCCAATTTGGATTCAGGAAAAATAAAAGCACTAATGATGCAATTATAAAAATGCTAGACCTGTTTTACACAGCATTGGAAAATAAGGAATATCCACTAGGAATTTTTATTGACCTAAGAAAAGCGTTTGACACAGTAGACCACGGCATCCTACTCCACAAACTTGACCACTATGGTATAAGAGGCCATGCACTTGCATATTTTAAATCCTACCTTTCTAATAGGTATCAGTATGTCACCATTAAAGACACAGCCTCATCAATACGGCCACTTGATACTGGAGTTCTGCAGGGAAGTGTCCTTCGACCCCTGCTCTTCCTCATTTACATCAATGATCTTCCAAACATATCCCAACACCTAAAATCCATTCTCTTTGCTGACAACATGACTTATGTCATCTCCCACCCTAATCTTGCCACCCTCAGCACCATTGTTAACGAGGAGCTGCTCAAAATATCGACTTGGATGACAGCCAATAAACTTACACTTAACACTGGCAAAACCTACTATATATTATGTTTGGTAGCAGAGCAGGTGTTGCGCAACTTAACATTAAGATCGACAACACTCTAATTGCCAGACATAATGAGGGCAAATTCCTTGGCCTATACCTCAACAACAACCTAAATTTCAGCACCCATATCCAACACATAACAAAAAAAGTATCCAAAATGGTGGGGATCCTCTCCAAGATATGATACTATGTGCCGCAAACTGCCCTTCTCACTCTATACCATTCACTTATATATCCATGCCTCACCTATGCTATCTGTGCTTGGGGTTCAATTGCAGCAACACACCTAAAGCCAATAATAACCCAACAAAAAGCCGCAGTAAGAATAATCACTAAATCCCATCCCTGGCAACACACACCCCCACTCTTCATAGATCTAAACTTACTCCCTGTTCAGAACATCCACACTTACTACTGTGCAATCTATATCTACAGGACCTTAAATTCCAATATTAACCTTGACCTAAAATGCTTTCTTGATAGTTGTGACAGGATCCACAGGCATAACACCAGACACAAACATCTCTATGACATTCCCCTTGTTCGACTAAACCTTTACAAAAATTCAATGTATTTCAAAGGACCTAAAATCTGGAACACCCTATCTGAAAACTCTAGAACTGCAGACACATTCATCACTTTCAAAACTACAGTTAGAAAACATCTTATCTCCCTGATCCACCCCGACAACTAACTACATGATAACCACCTGGTGGTTCACAATTACACTCACTCAACCACTGACTATAAACCCAGAAATACTAATCTTAATCTTAAAATAATAAATCCTAACTAGTCATAAGTTTGCCTATGATACTCCAATATAAACCCTTTGTATTGTGCCAAAACAAAAGCATTCACATTGCTAAACTCACAAATTATGATGTAGTCACTTAGCCTTAATACCATAATCTGTAAGGATTTAATGTTGAGAATTAATCTAAGTCTGCTCGAAATGCCTAGCCATGCTAGGCGTCCTAGTGGCCCCCTCTGTAATTAGTATTTTATAACATGTAAACCACACAATACCCAAAACCTGTAAACCCTACATTGTAACCCTTATAGAGAATAAACTTGAATTGAATGAAGAAACGTTAAGGGAAATCAACCTGACTACACTGGAGAACAGGAGGGTCAGGGGAGACATGATAACAACACACAAAATACTGCAAGGAATTGACAAGGTGGACAAAGACAGAATGTTCCAGAGATGGAAACCAGGGATCACAATTGGAAGTTGAAGACTCAGATGAATCACAGGGATGTTAGGAAGTATTTCTTCAGTCACAGAGTTGTCAGGAAGTGGAATAGTCTGGCAAGTGATGTAGTAGAGGCAGGAACCATACATAGCTTTAAGAAGAGGTATGATAAAGCTCATGGAGCAGGAAGAGTGACATAGTAGCGACCAGTGAAGAGGCAGGGCCAGGAGCTGTGACTCAACCCCTGCAACCACAAATAGGTGAGTACATCGCTTGTTTTCCTCCTATAAAAATTATTCTCCAGCCAGTTATAAAATTATTTAATAAATTTAAAATCTGAGAAAAAATTTATTTACATGAGAGTGGTTTTCAAGATATGGGTCATGACTCCCCTTTGAAGGGCCCCAGACCCCATCAGAGGGCCACAGACCCCATCAGAGGGCCATGGACCCCATCAAAGGGCCACAGACCCCAACACAATCTGCAAACCTTAAAATTCTTAAATACTTCAGTCTTGAAAAGGCTCAAAAATATTACTTTTCTGCAACAGTGAAAAATCACTGAAATTGTGACACATTTGCAGTGATACAGAAGTAAAACTGACAGTGTTACAGTGCCAGTGTTGCAGTGACAGTGTTACACTGCTAGTGTTACAGCAACAGTGTCACAGTGCTAGTGTTACAGTGACAGTGTCACACTGCTAGTATTACAGTGATAGTGTTACAGTGTCACACTGCTAGTGTTACTGTGACAGTATTACACTGCCAGTGTTACACCATATTACAGTGACAGTGTTACACTTCCAGTATACAGTGAGAGTGCATCAGTGCCAGGCAACAGGTTATTAGTGCCAATATAAGAGTGCCAGACTAACAATGCCACTGTTGACCAGGGTCGAGGGCCATCAGAGCAGTTGATGCATGTAACTCCCTCCACTTCAATTCTTCCAGTGCACCTCACACGACTCTCACAAGTAAGTCAAACATCATGAGTAATATTTTTGGTATTAACAATGATAGTCAGGCTAGAGATTGTCGAGTTTCCTACACTATCTTGACACTATTCTGTATGATAGTTACATTGTGGGAACACCAGCAGTGTTGCTACACTATTCTGTATGATATTTACATTGTGGGAACACCAGCAGTGTTGCTACACTATTGTATATGATACATTGTGGGAACACCATCAGTGTTGCTACACTATTCTGTATGATAGTTACATTGTGGGAACACCAGCAGTGTTGCTACACTATTGTATACGATACATTGTGGGAACACCATCAGTGTTGCTACACTATTCTGTATGATAGTTACATTGTGGGAACACCAGCAGTGTTGCTACACTATTCTGTATGATAGTTACATTGTGGGAACACCAGCAGTGTTGCTACACTATTCTGAGTGATAATTACATTGTTGGAACACCAGCAGTGTTGTTACACTATTCTGTATGATAGTTACATTGTGTGAACACCAGCAGTGTTGCTACACTATTGTATATGATACATTGTGGGAACACCAGCAGTGTTGCTACACTATTCTGTATGATAGTTATACTGTAGGAACACCAGCAGTGTTGCTACACTATTCTGTATGATAGTTACATTGTAGGAACACCAGCAGTGTTGCTACACTATTCTGTATGATAGTTACATTGTGGGAACACCAGCAGTGTTGCTACACTATTCTGTATGATAGTTATATTGTGGGAACACCAGCAGTGTTGCTACACTATTCTGTATGATAGTTACATTGTGGGAACACCAGCAGTGTTGTTACACTATTCTGAGTGATAGTTACACTGTGGGAACAACAGCAGTGTTGCTACACTATGGGTGATCCCACAGTGTAGTGTCATCCAGAGCATCACTAATACTCAGTACATCCACCAGGTGGGTCGCCATCCAGACGAGCCTGCCCATTCCTGGGAGTGTGGAAGATAGGGAGTGGGGACTGTGAGCATGAGGTGGATGTCACCCATCTAAAGGTGGGTTGTGGACCACTACACAACCTCCAGTTCATCCACCAGTGTTCCACCCACACTGTTAAACACTGTAAGTACTGATGCATGATATATGGGTTGATGGATGATGTGTGGGTTGATGATGTGTGGGTTGATGGATGATGTGGGGGTTGATGGATGATGTGTGGGTTGATGATGTGTGGGTTGATGGATGATGTGGGGGTTGATGGATGATGTGTAGGTTAATGGATATGTGGGTAGAGGGATGATGTGTAGGTTGATGGATGATGTGTGGGTTGATGGATGATGTGTGGATTGATGGATGATGTGTGGGTTGATGGATGATGTGTGGGTTGATGGATGATGTGTGGGTTGATGGATGATGTGTGGGTTGATGGATGATGTGTAGGTTGATGGAATGTGTGGGTAGAGGATGATGTGTGGGTTCATGGATGATGTGTAGGTTGATGGATGATGTGTGGGTTGATGGATGATGAGTGGGTTGATGGAATGATGTGTGGGTTGATGGATGATGTGTGGGTTGATGAATGATGTGTGGGTTGATGAATGATGTGTGGGTTGATGAATGATGTGTATGTTGATGGATGATGTGTGGGCTGATGGATGATGTGTGGGTTGATGATGTGTGGATGATGGATGATGTGTGGGGGTTAGATGTGTGGGTTGAGGGTGGATGATGGATGTTTGGGGGGTTTGAGGGATGATGGGGGGTTTGATGGATGATGGGGGAGTGGATGAGGGGGGGTGAGGAGATGTGGGGGTGATGGATGATGTGTGGGTTGGTGGGAGGTGGGGATGTGGATGAGTAGGGTTTGATGTTTTGGATTGAGGATGATTGGGGGATGGATATGTGTGTATTATGAGGTGGGTTTTGATTTTGGGGGTTGAGTTTGGGTTGAGATTTTGGGGGTTGTGGTGGGTTATGTGTGGGATGGATGATGTTGGGTTGAGGTGTGTTTGGGTGATGATGTGGGGGTTGATGATGAGTGTGGTTGGAATGATTGGGGTTTGATGGATGTGTGGGGTTTGATGGATGAGTGTGGGTTGAGGGATGATGTGTGGGTTGATGATGTGTGGGTTGAGATTGTGGGTTGTGTGTGGGGTTGATGGATGTGTGGGGGTTGTGAGTGTGGGTTGAGGGTGAGTGTCTGTTGATGTGTTGGTTTGATGGATGATTGTGGGTTGATTGGAGATGGGGTGGGTTAGGGGATGATGTGGGGGTTGAGAGTGTGGTTGAGATGTGTGGTTGATGGATGTGTTGGGTTGATGATGTTGGGTTGATGGATGATGGGGGTTTGATGATGTGTGGTTTTTGATGTGTGGTTGAGGATGATTGGGGGGTTGTGTGTGGGGGTTGAGGGAGAGTGGGGGTTGATGATGTGGGGGTTTTGAGGGATGATGTGTGGTTGATGATGTGGGTTGATGGATATGTGTGGGTTGAGGATGATTTTGGGGGTTGGTTTGATGTGTGGTTGATGATTGTGGGTTGATGAGTGTGGGTTGATGGATAGTGTGGGTTGAGGATGATGGGGGGTTGAGGGAGATGTTGGTTGAGGATGATGGTGGGTTTGAGGGATGTGTGTGGGTTGGTTGATGTGTGGGTTGATAGTGGGGTTTGGATGAGTGGGGGGTTGAGGTGATTTGGGGGTTGATGGATGATGTTGGGTTGGTTGAGTGTGGGTTATGATTTTTGTGGGTTGATGTGTGGGGTTTTTAGATTGGGGGGGCTCTTTCTCCTCTGTTCCTCCTGCTCTGTTCCCCTGGTTTCCTCCTGCGCTTTCCCCCCTGCTGTTTCTTGCTGCTTTCCCCCTCCTGTGCTGTTCCTCCTGCTGCTGTTCCTCCTCCTGCTGTTCTGCCTGCATTTTCTCTTGCTTTGTTTTTGTGTTTTCCCCTGCTGCTGTTTTCCTCCTGCTTTTCCTCCGTTGTTCCTTTCTCCTGCTGTTTCTCCTGGGCTATTCCTCCTCTTTTCCCCCTCCTGCTGTTCCTTCCTGCTTTTTCTCCTGCTGCTGTTTCTCCTGCTGCTTTTTCTCCGCTGCTGTTCCTCCCCTGCTTTTCCTCCCCTGCTTTTCCCCCTGCTGTTTCTCCTGCTGCTGTTCCTTCGCTTTTTCTCCTGCGCTTTTCCCTCCTCCTGTTTCCTCCTGCTGCTTTTTCCTCCTCTGTGCTCCTCCTGCCTGCTGCTCCCCCGCTGCTGCTGCTGCTCCTGTGCTGCTGTCCTGCTGCTGCGCTGCTGCTGCTCCTGCTGCTGCTGCTCCTGCTGCTGCGCTCCTGCTGCTCCTGCTGCCCTGCTGGCTGTTTGGGGAAAGGCTCTAACAAGCATTGTTGCATCATGGTCATGGACAAAGGGTACTCAGTCTATGGTAGAGTATTTTTGCATTTTAAATTTGGGTACGTGATGATGAAAAAAGACATTTAAAAAATTTAAAATTTTGTTAAACAATTACAGCAATGATAGAAGATAATAAATGATTTTTTAAGAGATATGGGAAAGTTTTTTAGAGTGGTTCAAGACCCCACATTGATAAAATAGACACATGGTCTAATTTTCAGATATGGTACCTTTGCTTTTATAATAATTGCACATGTTTTGGTATAGGCAACAATACCCGTGTTTAAAAAACTTTTTGGGAGGTTCTTCATTAGGACCAGCTGTATTAGCTTTTCTACATTAATAGTTTTTGTTTTTTAATCGGCGTTTGGTTACTGCTCTAGATTCGCATTAACTTGGGGGCAGGAGAGTTTTTCCAGGGTTTAGTCGCTTACTCACCTTCCTCCGAAGAATGCGCATTTTCCGGGAAATGTGGCATGGGGCAAATCTTGTGGAAAATGCCTTCCATCGGGAAAGTCTTTATCCACAAAGGGAAAGCAAATGATTTTTTTGGATTTCCTTTTTATTTTTTCATTGTTCATTTTTCCCTCAACAAAAACAACTTCCCTGGGCCCTTTTGCAGTAAAACTACCCCAAATATTTAGGTGGGTCTTGTGATACTTCTTAAAGTGTCTGTTCCAGGAAGTTCGTCTTTGCCGTTTCACTACCACTTAGTGACCATGTACCCAAAAAACTCTGAAAAAACTTTTGTTCCATTTATCGTCTCCATCCTGCGGCCATTTTGTCTTCCAGCAGCATCAATAATTTTTTCTTTACCAAATTTCTGGAAGTTCTGCCCCAAAGGGGCCCCTCATCGAACAGTTGAAGAATAAAACATTTACGTCAGCTTTATAAGGCCAAATCTCTCAGTAGATATTTGCTGGTTTTCATGGGATCCTTTTCACTATTTATGGTAACCTTGTCATTGTGAGGTGTTGTCTTGCGTTTTCATCCACAGCTTCCTTGACGCAGTGCACCACAATCACCAGTGTCGTCAGTTCTCTTCAGATTCTGACCAACAGTTGACTTTGCTAGGCTCAAATTTTCAGCTATCCATCTCATACTCAAATCAGCATGTTTTCTGAGAACTACAATACTTGCACGCTTCCTAGGTGTAACATCCATCATGAATTTCAGCAGTAATCATGAACTGAAGGGAAGAATCTGACAAAACCACACTTACTCGTGGAACATGCTTGCTGGACTAGCCTTACAGAACAACAGCTGTTGTAGCACTGACAAGAGTCACAGGGTAACACCACAGCTGGAATGGTTGCCAGAAGTCAATAGCGAACTCTTATGAAAAAAAAGAACTCAAAATACATTAAGTATGCCGGAGACTAAGACACATTACGAGATAATCACAAAATTTACTCCTGTCCCAATTAATCTGCACACTACTGTAGTTTCACGTGCTCCTCCTCCTCCTGCTGTTGCTGCTGCTGCTGCTAACACAATCTTACCTTCCTCAGCCTTGGTGTGTCATGGTCACTGGACTGAAGGTCACTCAGTCTTCATGGTAGCTTCCCCACACGACCGACCATCACACAGACTGTGTCTGACAGCCACCAACAACCAGCACAGCAACAGCAACAACAGCAGTAACAGCAGCAACAGGAGTCTACAAGTTACAGCACATGCTCACTCCTGCCCCAGGCATCATGTTCCACCTACCACAACCCTCACCTTCAATATCACAGCTCAACGTATGTATTAAATACATCATTATGTTCTTTATTATCTATTATCTACTCTTTTATCTACCCTCATTCATGGGTAGATGTTAAGCATTTCCATTTATGAAGATAGGAAGCAGTATAGTAGTTACCAGTTGTCAAAGGCACTTGTCAACAGACACTTGGCTTTTTTTTTTTTTTTTTGTGTGTGTGTGTGTGTGTGTGTGTGTGTGTGTGTGTGTGTGTGTGTGTGTGTGTGTGTGTGTGTGTGTGTGTGTGTGTGTGTGTGTGTGTGTGTGTGTGTACTCACCTATTTGTACTCACCTATTTGTGGTTGCAGGGGTCGAGTCCTAGCTCCTGGCCCCGCCTCTTCACCGGTTGCTACTAGACCCTCTCTCTCCCCGCTCCATGAGCTTTATCAAACCTCGTCTTAAAACTGTGTATGGTTCCTGCCTCCACTACGTCATTTTCTAGGCTATTCCACTGCCTTACAACTCTATGACTGAAGAAATACTTCCTACTATCTCTCTGACTCATTTGTGTCTTCAACTTCCAATTGTGGCCTCTTGTTTCTGTGTCCCCTCCCTGGAACATCCTGTCCTTGTCCACCTTGTCTATTCCACGCAGTATTTTATATGTCGTTATCATGTCTCCCCTGACCCTCCTGTCCTCCAGTGTCGTCAGGCCGATTTCCCTTAATCTTTCTTCATAGGACATTCCCCTTAGCTCTGGAACTAACCTTGTTGCAAACCTTTGTACTTTCTCTAGTTTCTTGACGTGCTTTATCAAGTGCGGGTTCCAAACAGGTGCTGCATACTCCAGTATGGGCCTGACATACACGGTGTACAGTGTCTTGAATGATTCCTTACTAAGGTGTCGGAATGCTGTTCTCAGGTTTGCCAGGCGCCCATATGCTGCAGCAGTTATCTGATTGATGTGTGCTTCCGGAGACATGCTCGGTGTTATACTCACCCCAAGATCTTTCTCCTTGAGTGAGGTTTGCAGTCTTTGGCCACCTAGCCTATACTCTGTCTGTGGTCTTCTGTGCCCTTCCCCTATCTTCATGACTTTGCATTTGGCAGGATTAAATTCGAGAAGCCATTTGCTGGACCAGGTGTCCAGTCTGTCCAGGTCTCTTTGAAGTCCTGTGTGTGTGTGTGTGTGTGTGTGTGTGTGTGTGTGTGTGTGTGTACACTCACCTATTTGTGGTTGCAGGGATCCATTCACAGCTCCTAGGCCCACCTCTTTGCTGGTCACTACTAGGTCCACTCTCTCCCTTCTCCAGCAGCTTTATCATATCTCTTCTTAAAGCTATGTATGGATCCTGCCATCATTACATCACTCTCCAGAATGTTCCACTTCCTGATAACTCTATGGCTGAAGAAATACTTCCTAACATCCCTGTGACCCATCTGAGTTTTCAACTTCCAATAGTGACCCCTTATTGCTGCATCACATCTCTGAAACATTCTGTCCTTATCCATCTTGTCGGTTCCTCTCAGTATTTTATATGTCATTATCATGTCCTCCCTATCCCTCCTGTCCTCCAGTGTTGTCAGATTGAGTTCCCTTAACTTCTCCTCATAAGACAAAGTCCTCAGCTCCAGGACTAGTCTTGTTACAAACCTTTGCACTTTCTCTAATTTCATGACGTGTTTGACCAGGTGTGGGTTCCATACTGGTGCTGCATATTCCAATATGGGCCTGAAGTACGTGGTGTACAATGTTGTTTATCACTTCTTACTTAGATGTTGAAATATTATTCTGAGGTTTGCCAGGCACCCATTTGCTGCAGCAGTTATTGAATGATGTGTACCTCAAGAGGTGTGTTTGATATGATGCTCACCCCAAGATCTTTTTCCTTGAGCAAGTTTTGCAGCCTCTGACCTCTTAGGCTGTACTCTGTCTGCAGTCTTCTTCGTCCTTCCCCAAGCTTCATGACTTTGCACTTACTGGGGTTAAACTCCAGTAGTCATTTGTCAGAGCAGGCTTGCAGCCTGTACAAATTGCCATGTAGGCTTACCTGACCCTCTTCCACTTGTATTCTCATTAACTTCATGTCATGTGAACAGGGACACCACTGAATCTATCTCTTCAATCATGTCATTCACATATAAGAGAAATAGCACCAGACTTAGGGCTTACCCTTGTAGAACCCCACTTTACACATGTGTACCTACTTTAAACACCTCATCTCATACTAACAAATGTTTTTTTTTCCTTCCTGACAGGTATTCCCTGATTCACTCCAGTATTTTTCCCTCCTATTCCTGCCTGCTCCTCTAGCTTTCAGTCAGTCACTTGTGTGGTACTGTGTCGAAAGCCTTCTTACAGTCCAAGAAGATGCAATGTACCCATCCCTCTCTCTCCTGTCTTACTTCTGTTACCTTGTCATACAACTCCAATAGGTTTGTGATGCAGTCCCTTGACTTGTACTTCCTGTAATGCAGGCAAGAAAGATACATGATAATATACACCTGGAAGATCCTAGAGGGACTAGTCACAAATTTGCACATGAAAATCACTCCCTACAAAACCAAAAAACTTGGCAGGAGATGCAACATCACCCCAATGAAAATCAGGGGTGCCACGAGTATGCTAAGAAACAGCACAATAAGTGTCAGGGGTCCAAGAATGTTCAACTGCCTCCCAGCATACACATAGGGGATTATTAATAGACCCCTGACTGTCTTCAAGAAGACACTGGGCAGGCACCTAAAATCAGTACCTGACCAGCCAGGCTGTGGTTCACACATTAGTTTACGTACAGCCAGCAGTAACAGCCTGGTTGATCAGACCCTGATCCACCACAAGGCCTATTCATGGACCAGGCCATGGGGGGCATTGACCCCCCAAAAACCCCTCCAGGTATCTAGACACTTCCAGATGTATTTTCATCTTCACTTATCTTGTCGTATTAAAATTCTGCTGATAATATTGGAATCGGCCAGGATGACCCACAATTCAATTACGCACCATTCTTTAGTACAATGTTAACGTCATGCTATTCAGTTCCTCTCCCAAAAAACGTTATCTTATACAGATATATTTAATTAAATTCAGTGATACTTCCAGGTGAGTAATATTTTCCTCATCAGAATATAAATTTCTTCTAAATTACAATTTCACTGCACTTAACCCTTTCAGGGTCCCCAGGCCCTCTCCCAGACTTGTTCTCAGGGTCGCCCAAATTTCAAAAAAAAATTATTTTTTCTTATGAAAAGATAGAGAATCTTTTCCCGATCATAATGACACCAAAAGTATGAAATTTGATGGAAAACTTATGGAATTATGCTCTTGCGAAGTTAGCGGTCTCAACGATGTTTATGCATCGGCAATTTTGCCCACTTTGAGCCCTATTTTCAGCCAATTCCAATGTACTAGTCGACAAAACTCATAACTATTTTGCTAGAACTCCATTTTTTCTATTGAATGAGTACAACCAATTTCAACTATCCAATACAGTGGTCAGAATTTAGCAATTTTGCCAATTTCACACAAATTTCAAAAGATGCCAATTTCCAAATAGGGTCCAGAATAAACAAGACATTCCTGGCACTAAAATAACATTTCCTCTGTTCATTAGTCCCGTCCCCATGCCCCTCTTACATTCTTTTGCTTTCCACTTTGAATTTTTATTCTCACAAAAAATATAAGATTTACTGTTATGCAGACTACTGCATTAGTGTAGAAATGGTATAAATAATTTCGGCACACTTGTGAAAGAATATTAGACTCACCAGTTGGACGCTTAGCATAATTTGTTTACTTTTGAACTTTGGTAAAAATCGAACATTTCTGCTACTTTGAATTCAATTTCTGTAATATGTCTTCCATTCTATAAAATGAGACCAGGAAAACTAGAATACAACAATAAATGCCATATGAAAATACAGTGCAAACTCACTGTTTTAATCCAAAAACACGGTCAAGGTTTTTTTTTTCTCATTACGCACTGTGTGCTGCAGGATTTTTTTTATACTGTGCACACTGACCACATAGACCTATTCTTTCATATGTAGGCCTACCAGCTTTCTCTCACCAGATTTGAGGGCGCTAGAATTTAGGCATACTAGTACGTCAAAAACCCTGGTGTAAAAGCCGTACTAGTACGGCCGAAACCCTGAAAGGGTTAATCAACTTCTTACAATATATAAGGAAATTATAGGGAATATAGGTTCTCATATGAGTGACTGATCACCCTTCAAATGTCACACCAATATTACACACATTCACTACTTTATATAAACATTATTATTATCCCTACTAATTATCATTCACAAATCACAGAAAAATTATCAAAACTTTCCACAGTACTATGGTACAAGTGAACCATGATGGCTTAGTGGTAATACTGTGCCACTGAACCATCATAGGTCAGTGGTACTACTGTACCACCCATGGTTCTTTGGTGGAATAGTACCACTGAGCCATCATGGTTCTGTTGTATAACAGAACCACTGAACCATTATGGTTCAGTGGTTATACTATACCTGCTGCATGCCATCACCTCAGTTTGAATCCCCATTAATACTTTTGTTTATTTCACTTCAATATATTTACACCACTGATGTCCAGATCTATAGATTAATATGTCCCATTTTGTGTAAATTCATTTATGTGTTGGTTAATGGGGTTTATGGGTTTATAGTCTATCTACTGCACCAGGGTGATTAAGACTGGTTGATTGGTTAATGGGGTTTAAAGTCTATCTATTACACCAGGGTCATTAAGACTGTGTGTCACATGTACACCACCAGTCAAGAATACTTTAATACTTCAAGTAATGATTAATGTAAACTACCAGTGTATATACAATGTGATATACATCTCTCAGCATATATACACTGAGAGACATACACCTCTCGGTGTATATACACTGAGACGCACGCCTCTCATTGTATGCCCTCCACCTGTATAGAACTAATTTCTGTTTCAGGAGACTGTACCGTGGCCAGCAGAAGCAGCACATTTCACCCTTTGTCTCACCTACCAATTGTACTCCTGCTGAGTGTACTACAAGCGACGTTTCACTCACCACTACACACTGAGTACATCCCTAGATGAACATACAAATCACACACACACACACACACAAAACAATTAACCCTTATTCTAGAATTGTGGTGCCAATGGCATCATTTTGCCCCCCTAAAGTATTGAAAAACCTCCATAAACCACTATTTAAAGAGGTTTAATAAACCAAGGTAATGGCATAGATTAAAACAGGTCCTCAGCATGAGATGTTCTGTGTATATTTGTAAAGCAAATTTTATAATCATTGGTAAAGTATTCTTTTACACGTTCCTGAAGACAATGACCGCAGAGGTATATTTTGTATATGCGTATATAGCATGTCTGTACAGGTTAGAAACTATATACCATTTTGTATGGAGCAAATTCGTCCCATTGAAAATGAAAGAAGCAATTATTTTTCTGCCTTAGGTAGGCAATTCTGGAGTTTACTGTAGGCCTAGGAGACATACATGGTTAATTTGTATAATATATACACATATACACATATACGTACATAATTTATATAGGTATATTTGCCAAAAGTTCTGTTTCAGTTGGTCATGTAGAGTTTCTGTGAGGGAATTAGTTGAGTTTGTTGAGTCTGGGGTGTTTAAATGAGTTAGATTTGTGTAATGCATGGGTATCTTTACTGGGGAGATGTTTTGCCCACTCTGTAGGCTTGTGTCGAGGTGGTCAGTCCCTTAGTAACCTTAAACTCACCTCTCCAGGCTGAGGGAATGACTACCTCATAGTTACTTCTCCATAGTTTCTATATTTGGCTCATGTGAAACGTGTCATCACTAAAGATACGCAAGTGTTACACATGTCTTGTTCATCAACTTGTCGGTATTGTATACTAGAAATATAAATATCAGAATTATTTATCCTGAAGAAATAAGTATGAGGGAGCTGTGAACATGGATAGGGCCATGGGGGCGTTGACCCCCAAAACACTCTCCAGGTATACTCCAGGTATACACCTAAAGTACCAGCTGAGCTGTTGCTCATATGTTGGTTTGCATGCAGCCAGCAGCAACAACCTGGTTGATTAAGCTCTGATCCACCATGAGGCCTGGTCATGGACCGGGCCATGGGAACATTGCCCCCTGAAACAACCTCCAGGTAGACAAGGTGCTACCAAAAAGTTCCTGGACTGCCACAAAAAAAAATATAGGCTTACTTAATCACCTAGTTGAAGTTGTCTCCCTGGAACTAGACTCCTGGGAGGCTGTACATTGACCTCTGCACCTCTTACACTTCTCAAAACATTTCTGGGATTCTTCTTTCCTAACAGTATCTGAAACAGCCTGCAACTGCTTAATCTCCTCCACATTGTTAAAACACCACTCCTTGAGTGACTATAAATTTTTGGGGAAGGGAAAGAAATCACAGGGTGCCAGACCTGGGGACTAGGGAGGCTGGGGAATGATTGCCATTTCTCTGGTCTTGAGTCAGCAAGTGGGGCACAAATTTTGCAGCCACTCGACTCATATTCAAATTTTCAGTCAAAATGCTTTGATACGACCCATAAGAAATCCCTAGAACACTTAACAATATCCTGGACACTGAACGATTTTGTGAATTTCACCAGATGTTGTACCCAGCATGAAACAGAATTTCATAACCACTCACACTCTTCTCTCAAAGATGCTATTCTGTTACACAAAAACTATCAACACTGCACTAACACAACAGAAAATACCACCTAACCTCAACGTAACACTCAGCCACATTGAAACACACCACTGTACTTCACAATGCAATGTACTGTGTACTGTAATCTGCAATGCTGCAATATTTCACACAGGAAATGCAAGAAAATTCTAGTATTGGAACTTTCTGACAGCACCTTGTAGTAGGTTGGTAGACAGCAACCACCCAGGGAAGTACTACCGTCCTGCCAGATGACTGTGAAACAAAAACCTGTAACTGTTTTGCATGATGGTAGGATTGCTGGTTTCTTTTTCTGTCTCATAAACACGCTAAGATAACAGGGATATCTTGCTACTCCTACTTACACTTTGGTCACACTTCACAGACACGCACATGCATATATATATATACATACATCTAGGTTTTTCTCCTTTTTCTAAATAGCTCTTGTTCTTTTTTATTTCTTCTATTGTCCATGGGGAAGTGGAAAAGAATCTTTCCTCCGTAAGCCATGCGTGTCGTATGAGGCGACTAAAATGCCGGGAGCAATGGGCTAGTAACCCCTTCTCCTGTATACAATTACTAAAAAAGAGAAGAAGAAAAACTTTATAAAACTGGGTTGCTTAAATGTGCGTGGATGTAGTGCGGATGACAAGAAACAGATGATTGCTGATGTTATGAATGAAAAGAAGTTGGATGTCCTGGCCCTAAGCGAAACAAAGCTGAAGGGGGTAGGAGAGTTTCAGTGGGGGGAAATAAATGGGATTAAATCTGGAGTATCTGAGAGAGTTAGAGCAAAGGAAGGGGTAGCAGTAATGTTAAATGATCAGTTATGGAAGGAGAAAAAGAGAATATGAATGTGTAAATTCAAGAATTATGTGGATTAAAGTAAAGGTTGGATGCGAGAAGTGGGTCATAATAAGCGTGTATGCACCTGGAGAAGAGAGGAATGCAGAGGAGAGAGAGAGATTTTGGGAGATGTTAAGTGAATGTATAGGAGCCTTTGAACCAAGTGAGAGAGTAATTGTGGTAGGGGACTTGAATGCTAAAGTAGGAGAAACTTTTAGAGAGGGTGTGGTAGGTAAGTTTGGGGTGCCAGGTGTAAATGATAATGGGAGCCCTTTGATTGAACTTTGTATAGAAAGGGGTTTAGTTATAGGTAATACATATTTTAAGAAAAAGAGGATAAATAAGTATACACGATATGATGTAGGGCGAAATGACAGTAGTTTGTTGGATTATGTATTGGTAGATAAAAGACTGTTGAGTAGACTTCAGGATGTACATGTTTATAGAGGGGCCACAGATATATCAGATCACTTTCTAGTTGTAGCTACACTGAGAGTAAAAGGTAGATGGGATACAAGGAGAATAGAAGCATCAGGGAAGAGAGAGGTGAAGGTTTATAAACTAAAAGAGGAGGCAGTTAGGGTAAGATATAAACAGCTATTGGAGGATAGATGGGCTAATGAGAGCATAGGCAATGGGGTCGAAGAGGTATGGGGTAGGTTTAAAAATGTAGTGTTAGAGTGTTCAGCAGAAGTTTGTGGTTACAGGAAAGTGGGTGCAGGAGGGAAGAGGAGCGATTGGTGGAATGATGATGTAAAGAGAGTAGTAAGGGAGAAAAAGTTAGCATATGAGAAGTTTTTACAAAGTAGAAGTGATGCAAGGAGGGAAGAGTATATGGAGAAAAAGAGAGAGGTTAAGAGAGTGGTGAAGCAATGTAAAAAGAGAGCAAATGAGAGAGTGGGTGAGATGTTATCAACAAATTTTGTTGAAAATAAGAAAAGTTTTGGAGTGAGATTAACAAGTTAAGAAAGCCTAGAGAACAAATTGATTTGTCAGTTAAAAATAGGAGAGGAGAGTTATTAAATGGAGAGTTAGAGGTATTGGAAGATGGAAGGAATATTTTGAGGAATTGTTAAATGTTGATGAAGATAGGGAAGCTGTGATTTCGTGTATAGGGCAAGGAGGAATAACATCTTGTAGGAGTGAGGAAGAGCCAGTTGTGAGTGTGGGGGAAGTTCGTGAGGCAGTAGGTAAAATGAAAGGGGGTAAGGCAGCCGGGATTGATGGGATAAAGATAGAAATGTTAAAAGCAGGTGGGGATATAGTTTTGGAGTGGTTGGTGCAATTATTTAATAAATGTATGGAAGAGGGTAAGGTACCTAGGGATTGGCAGAGAGCATGCATAGTTCCTTTGTATAAAGGCAAAGGGGATAAAAGAGAGTGCAAAAATTATAGGGGGATAAGTCTGTTGAGTGTACCTGGTAAAGTGTATGGTAGAGTTATAATTGAAAGAATTAAGAGTAAGACGGAGAATAGGATAGCAGATGAGCAAGGAGGCTTTAGGAAAGGTAGGGGGTGTGTGGACCAGGTGTTTACAGTGAAACATATAAGTGAACAGTATTTAGATAAGGCTAAAGAGGTCTTTGTGGCATTTATGGATTTGGAAAAGGCGTATGACAGGGTGGATAGGGGGGCAATGTGGCAGATGTTGCAAGTGTATGGTGTAGGAGGTAGGTTACTGAAAGCAGTGAAGAGTTTTTACGAGGATAGTGAGGCTCAAGTTAGAGTATGTAGGAAAGAGGGAAATTTTTTCCCAGTAAAAGTAGGCCTTAGACAAGGATGTGTGATGTCACCGTGGTTGTTTAATATATTTATAGATGGGGTTGTAAGAGAAGTAAATGCGAGGGTCTTGGCAAGAGGCGTGGAGTTAAAAGATAAAGAATCACACACAAAGTGGGAGTTGTCACAGCTGCTCTTTGCTGATGACACTGTGCTCTTGGGAGATTCTGAAGAGAAGTTGCAGAGATTGGTGGATGAATTTGGTAGGGTGTGCAAAAGAAAAATTAAAGGTGAATACAGGAAAGAGTAAGGTTATGAGGATAACAAAAAGATTAGGTGATGAAAGATTGAATATCAGATTGGAGGGAGAGAGTATGGAGGAGGTGAACGTATTCAGATATTTGGGAGTGGACGTGTCAGCGGATGGGTCTATGAAAGATGAGGTGAATCATAGAATTGATGAGGGAAAAAGAGTGAGTGGTGCACTTAGGAGTCTGTGGAGACAAAGAACTTTGTCCTTGGAGGCAAAGAGGGGAATGTATGAGAGTATAGTTTTACCAACGCTCTTATATGGGTGTGAAGCGTGGGTGATGAATGTTGCAGCGAGGAGAAGGCTGGAGGCAGTGGAGATGTCATGTCTGAGGGCAATGTGTGGTGTGAATATAATGCAGAGAATTCGTAGTTTGGAAGTTAGGAGGAGGTGCGGGATTACCAAAACTGTTGTCCAGAGGGCTGAGGAAGGGTTGTTGAGGTGGTTCGGACATGTAGAGAGAATGGAGCGAAACAGAATGACTTCAAGAGTGTATCAGTCTGTAGTGGAAGGAAGGCGGGGTAGGGGTCGGCCTAGGAAGGGTTGGAGGGAGGGGGTAAAGGAGGTTTTGTGTGCGAGGGGCTTGGACTTCCAGCAGGCATGCGTGAGCGTGTTTGATAGGAGTGAATGGAGACAAATGGTTTTTAATACTTGACGTGCTGTTGGAGTGTGAGCAAAGTAACATTTATGAAGGGATTCAGGGAAACCGGCAGGCCGGACTTGAGTTCTGGAGATGGGAAGTACAGTGCCTGCACTCTGAAGGAGGGGTGTTAATGTTGCAGTTTTAAAAACTGTAGTGTAAAGCACCCTTCTGGCAAGACAGTGATGGAGTGAATGATGGTGAAAGTTTTTCTTTTTCGGGCCACCCTGCCTTGGTGGGAATCGGCCGGTGTGAAAATAAATAAAAAAAAAAAATTCTGGTGTAATGCTGTATCTTGGGTAATGTATAATACTGTACAAGAGTGATACAATGGAACCAGGATTGTGTTATGATTTATTCGAGTCCAGGTTTGAAACTGATATACATTTATTGATGAATAAGATACATGTACAATGCCTGGGTGTCTTTACTGACAAATAAGACACATGTACAACACCTGCATATCTTTATTGATGAATAAGACATATGTGCAACACTTGTGTGTCTTTACTGATTAATAAGACATGTACAACACTGGGTTTCTTTATTGATGAATAAGATACAATGTTCAACAACTGGGTGTCTGTACTGAGGAATAAGACACATGTGCAACACTTGGGAATCTTGATACCTAGATGGTGCACGTGTCTTATTCATTAAAAAAGACACCCAAGTGTTGTACACGTGTCTTATTCATCAATAAAGACACCCAGGTGTTGTACAGGAAAAGCTGGTAGATGGATCTATAATTTCCTCACTAACAGAACACAAAGAGTAGTAGTCAACAGAGAAAAGTCTGAGGCGGCTACTGTGAAAAGCTCTGTTCCACAAGGCACAGTACTCGCTCCCATCTTGTTTCTCATCCTCATATCTGGCATAGACAAGGATGTCAGCCACAGCACCGTGTCTTCCTTTGCAGATGACACCCGAATCTGCATGACAGTGTCTTCCATTGCAGACACTGCAAGGCTCCAGGCGGACTTCAACCAAATCTTTCAGTGGGCTGCAGAAAACAATATGAAGTTCAACGATGAGAAATTTCAATTACTCCAATATGGTAAACATGAAGAAATTAAAACTTCAGAGTACAAAACAAATTCCTTCCACAAAATAGGGCGAAACACCAACGTCAAAGACCTGGGAGTGATCATGTCAGAGGATCTCACCTTCAAAGACCACAACATTGTATCAATCGCATCTGCTAGAAAAATGACAGGATGGATAATGAGAACCTTCAAAACTAGGGATGCCAAGCCCATGATGACACTCTTCAGGTCACTTGTTCTATCTATGCTGGAATATTGCTGCACACTAACACCACCTTTCAAGGCAGGTGAAATTGCTGACCTAGAAAATGTACAGAGAACCTTCACGGCGCGCATAACGGAGATAAAACACCTCAATTACTGGGAGCGCTTGAAGTTCCTGAACCTGTACTCCCTGGAACGCAGGTGAGAGAGATACATGATTATATACACCTGGAAAATCCTAGAGGGACTAGTACTGAACTTGCACGCGAAAATCACAACAAAAGCAAAAGACTCGGCAGACGATGCAACATCCCCCCCAATGAAAAGCAGGGGTGTCACTAGCACGTTAAAAGACAATACAATAAGTGTCAGGGGCCCGAGACTGTTCAACTGCCTCCCAGCATACATAAAGGAGATTACCAATAGACCCCTGGCTGTCTTCAAGCAGGCACTGGACAAGCACCTAAAGTCAGTACCTGACCAGCCGGGCTGTGGCTCGTACGTTGGATTGCGTGCAGCCAACAGTAACAGCCTGGTTGATCAGGCTCTGATCCACCAGGAGGCCTGGTCACAGACCGGGCCGCGGGGGCATTGACCCCCAGAACTCTCTCCAGGTAAACTTCAGGTGTTCATCAGT